TTATAGGTTTTTTATCTGATCAACTGTTTGTTTTAAAATTGTTCAAAGATTTGGATTTAAACTTAAATTCATCACGAATTTGGTTTTTATTAAAGCGGATTCCAACGACTGGTGTACTTGCCAAATATTAGTTACTAGTATATACTTGTCAAGCCGTCAGGAACACTATACTTGTACAATTATTGGTCACTTGTCAGTTTCTCGCGGATTGTCAGTAAATGTGACACAAGTCAAAGGAATTAATGGCTTGACAAGTTTACACTTGTAGTTCACTAGTGCACACTTGTGTACTTGTTAAATACTTGGCCAATATTTGATTTTAAGGTGACTATCGTTAAAACTATTTTATATTATAAAGTATAAAGTATATTATTGGATAGTTTAATATTTTACTAAAATGTTTACAATTGTAAAATTCTGTTTCATTTTTGCAAGTAAAAAATTTTATACGGTGCGTAGTTAAAACACTATTAGTTTTATTCTGTCCTGTTTTTTTCTTTAATTTTTAGGGAAACTAGCTTCCTCAAATTTACTTTAATTACTATTGTTGTTGGGTACCGAAAACAAGATTAATACAGTTTAGTACTGAAAAATATTTTATAGTAATAACATTTTCTATTTTATAAAGTTGTATTAGAACAATAAGTGTAAAAACAGTTTTTTTTTAAGCTTCGATGGCTATAATTAAATAAAAATAAATTAATCGGCCAAATTTTTGTTTTTGCATACCGGCTCATAGAAATTAAGTAAAATGATAACTCATTATGTTTATATCACTGATATAAACGTAAAGAGTTATTTTATAAGTGTTATTTTTATTGCATTTTTTTTCAATTAATTGTTTGTACTTTAAGTACTTTCCACACATAATTATGTATGAAGCATAAATAGTCATTTTATTATTATTACTAATCATTTGAATTAACTTAATGTTAATTAGATAAATAAAAACTAAAATTTATAGGTAAAAGTTAAAAAATTATCTTAACTAAAAAAATATTAAACTAAAAGGTATTAAAACTAACAATACTAAAAAATGTATTTCAAATCGCTCACTAAAACGTCCAAACACTGCAGCGCTAAAAAAGCAAATGATACATGACTTAATATTTTTCAGATTCCACCCTCAATACAATTATTTGGCATTTGATCCAGTCGTAGGAATAGTATACTTGGCTTTTAGCTTCGATGCGAAGCTGAGAAGGTATTAATTTTACCATGATGTGTTTATTTTTTTTTTTATTTTATTTTTTTTTTTTTTTGTGTCTGTCACTACTTTTTCTCAGCTCTCACTGGACCGATTTCTTTTAACAATACGTCAAAAGATCACAAATTGTATCTAGTTGAAGACATTACCCTTAAAAATTTAAAAATTTTCCCTCGTTCCCCGCAAATGGGGGAAATATCCAAAAAAATTACAAATTTAAAAATCGACAAATTTTGTCATTTTTTTCACTTTTTTTTCATTTTTTTCTTAAAACTTTTTCAAAAATCAACAAATCAACATAATTTTTTTTTAAACTAAAACCTTAGATATTTTCCTTTCATTTGATATAATTTTTTTGAAAATTTAACACTTAACCTGCTCATGGGGGGGGATTTAAAATTGCAACTTTTTTACAAAAACTAACTTTTTCAACTTAATTTTTGAAAATGTTCCGGAAATACTGCGTCCTTTAAACATATATCAAATTAAAGCTTATTTTATGTACTACTAAATGAAAAAAAAAAATTTGTCCCGACGACCTATCTTCTATGCGCAAAAGGCTACCGTATTTAAAAATATGCTATTTTTTATTAAAATTCTAGGTTTTGTATTTTATTTTATTTTAAAATATTTTATTAGGGGAATAAACTGACTTTCATGAATATTATATAATTTCATTGACATAGAATAAAGTTCATAAGACATATGATATTATACTTATTAACATTTTTTACTTTTTTAAAGTCGAAAAAGTAATTTTTAAATTTGAGTTAGCTTAAATAGCCAATTTTATCATGCAACAAAAATCAACGAATAGTTGCCGAATGGGTAACACCTTGATCTTTAACGCCTAGGGTACGAGGTTCAAATCCGTTTGTGGCTTCTAAAATTTTGCATTTTTTTTTTGAGTTAGAATAGAATTTTCAAATCATTTGATATTTATCTCATTTAGATTCAATAATTTCAATAAATATAAAGGATCTTATCACTATAGTCTCCCCTCGTGAGAAGAAATTGATATTCATGTTAATATTATTTTACTATGTGGTTCTTTTTCTGGCTACGATTTATTTTGCCAACCCTCACTAGACCTACTTTTTTCAACGATACGTCAAATGATTCATTTAAGTTTATGATATTTAAGTTAATGATTAGTTTAAGTTATTACTCTTAAAAATCAAAAAAATATTCCTTATTCAAATAAAAAGTAGCTTAACTAGATTTGTCCATACAAACAATTAAAATCATTAATTTTTAATATTCTTAAATTATTTATTGTCGAATTAAATTTGATATGATAAAAGTATTCAACTACAAAAGTAAATAATTTTACTTTATAATTTATTAATTTTTTAACTCTATTTCTGTGTGCTACTACCAGTCTATAATATGCCAAATTTTTTAGTAATATTTTGCTATATAAATCATAAATTTAAAAAAAAAATGATTTTTAGTTTCACCTGAAGTTAACGATGGAGTTTTACAATTATAATTATATTTTTGATAATATGCTCAATTGAGTAAATCTTTTTAACTACTTTGGTTTGATTGGTTCATTTAATTAAAGTAAATTATTAAAATTAATTAAGTTCTGAATATTTCAATTGCAGAATTTTTTTAAACACCAAAAGTTATTAGGATATGATTACTATTCTTTCTATTTCAGTTATCTATTACGATAAAAATGTAAAAAAATCGAATTTTTCTGACAAATGTACTGTAATTAGTAATTATAAAATTTCCAGATTGCATATTAATCTTAAAAATTTCATTTTTTTCAATTTAATAATGTCAATTTCAAACTTGCAAGTTGAACTATAAGTTATGGTAACAAATTCATTTTTTAGCTTCGATGCGAAGCTGAGAAGGTATTTTTCATTAAAACTTTCACTTTAAAAGACAATAAAAAATAGGTTCAAAATGATTACCTTTAACATATTAAAAATCAAAATCAGTATTAATTTAATACAATTTTTTTTGTTCTTAATTATTTTTTTTTATATGTAAATACTTATTTTTTAATAATAAGTAATAATATTAAAACTTAGAAGTAATAGAAAAAGTTTAATTGCACATTTGAAAACATCACGAAAAGTTTATTTAGAAAAGTATATTTTTTTTCTGATGAAAGTTCCTTTTGTTTAGTGTATTTATTCATAAGTAACAAAATTTTTTTATTAAAAAGTATTGCATAAATTCCTTTAAATTTGTATACGCATTAAAAGTATATGAATATACAACTCCTTTTTATTTTTATAATATCTCCGTAAAAATTACAATATTATATTATTGAATACCACTTTCATACTCAATTTAATTACTGTAATTATTATGTATTCATATATTATAGTTATAAATCGGGGTAAAATTAAGGGAATAAGTGTTATTGTTGTTTTTGAAATAATCTACCAATTTCATTTTTTTCTATTTAATAATATTTATTTCAAACTTGCAAGTTGAGTTAAAAGTTATGGTAATAAATTCATTTTTTTTTTATTAAAACTTTCACTTTAAAGAACAAAAAGAAGTAGGTTCAAAATGATTACTTTTAACATATTAAAAATCAATAATAATTTGAAAATAATTAATTATAAAAATTATATAATATATAATTAAAATAATTACTAATCTGGATATAATTAAGGAAATAGGAGTTGATGTTGGGTTGGGTTGGTTACATTTTTAACTTTATAATGCTATAACTCATTGAAAAGTGTACGAATCAACACAATTTTTTTATGAGAAATAATATTTTTTAATAATCCCTTTTTCATTCGACATACTTTATCTTAATCAGGGTATTAATAAGAAACTAGCAGATAATGTAGCTTTTGTAATTATCCACCAATTTCTTAGAATTAAACACTATCTACTGATTTGCATCGAAGCGTTTCTTATGATAGTGATTTTAATCACTGTCAGATTAAATCTATACTGGACCCAACTATGCAACATCCCCACTATGCCGCGACCCCACTGTGCTGGGTTTTTGTTTATTACTTGTATAAGTGTACAATTACTGGTTTACTTGTCAAGTATACAAGTCATGGGAACGCTCCACTTGTTAATAATGATGATTTTAGATGTTAGATGATTTGGTAAGTATACAATTATTGATGTACTTGACAAGTACACTAGTTGTGGAGACCAGTTTAAAACATAAATTAGTATAAATAAAATGATGTTATCGCAGACTTTTTTTGTTTTTCTCACGATATCGATTATTTGTTACGTAGAAACCTAACTGGAACGAAGAGTACGAGCAAGACAAGTGATAAAAATAGCAGCATCCACTCCTCATCATAAGTCATTACTTTAAATTATTAATAACTTCTGAAATACTGATTTAAAAGTTGTTATCGATTGGTCATTTTTTACATTAGATTATTTTCAATTTTATAAACTAGTTAAATGTGTATGTTGCCATAAAAAAAAAAATAAAGTTCATGTTATAAGGGATGATTCTAAAAGTAATTATTAGCTAATAAATCAAGAAATATATGTAACCAAAAGAAATCAAATATTTTTTTACAATATTGTATTTATTTTTCGAGTAATCAAGTGGTTAATGATAAACCGATCATTCAGTATACACATAATAATCTTATTATATAATAGAACAAGGAAAAAAACGCTTTTATGGAAAAATTACTTAGCATGCTCGGATTTTCAAATTTTTTTTTTTTTTTTAAGTCCACGCGCATGGTTTTAATATGCTCATTGATTCATTTCTGCTCATACGTTTATTATGAACCTTAATTATTATTTTGCATTTGCACATAGCACTATATTTTATCGAGGAATATTAAGTTATATATTAATTTCAAGACGGTTATAATTATATAAGTTTGTACTTTCATTATCAGAACTGTATATTATTAATAATCTTTTTTTTCTCATATATGATGTATGAGTCTATGAGTTTATCGTTTAAATTGGGAATCATCTATGACAATAATGCTGTCCAACGTTAAATCGTAGTTACTAATATTTTTATCAAAATTAAATTTTTTACATAGTCCCGCGTATAGTAACCTGCTGAATTTTTTTTAATTATTCTATAATATAAACACAATTATTATAATTAGAATATTAATAATTTTTGTGTATACCAGGGGTGTATTTAAGGGAGAAATGGGCCCCCCTTGAACAAGTGCTATTAATATTTTTTTGGGCAACTTCTAATAAATAAGGACCTAATGTCCTTTTTTTTCATCATTACTTTAATTTTTAGCAAAAAAAATTCTATAACATGTTCAACAAAGTAAAAAATATTAAATACCCTCCTAAAATAATTTTTGAATAGGCCTAAAGGGAATACCTCATTAAACCTTATACCTAATACATTTTACTATATTCTCTTTTTGAATTTTCCTGATTCTAATAATAACATTTTTAATATATTTTTGTAACACTGATTCTGATGTAATATTTTTTCTGCAAAACACTTACCGTGCCCGGCGTAGACGGGTACCCCTACCAGAATCAGTGGCCTACTTATGATGACGGTCCGAAGAGGCTTACGCGACGAAGGCGCGTAAGGCACATAGTGTTCCGGGTTTGGGGCAAAGCCCCAGATAGGCGTAGCCTAGTAATAATAATAAAATAACTTTGAGTAATATGGAAAATCATTTTTAATATACAAAAGTAAATCTTCACAAATTTATCCAATAATTGTCTTATAATATAAAGAAAAAAAAGGTTATATTGAGTCAGTTAGGACTCAAAGGTTTTGTTTATTTATAAAGCTAAAAAGTAGTATTCTTAAAAATAACTTTGCTGTATCTCCAATCGACATTGATACAATATGTTTAAAATATTTTAATTTTATGCCTGTATAAATACATGTAAATTGCACTTTATGTTATTTAAATAACATAAAATAAACTTAATGATCATTCTGAATATATTTTTACTAGGTTCAGTGCTTATTAAACTTTTTTTATAATAATAATATATTCCAAATTTCAATCAGGAGTGAAAAAAAGAAATACAATTCAATTCACAATTAAAAAAAAGTTAAAAATTTGAAATGCACATAAAATTGTTTTCTTTATTAAAAAATAATCACACTAAGTTTTATTATATTTTTGCTAGAGTTTTTATAAAAAAAATAGACAATTTTTAGATTTTTTTTTTGATAATTTTATTTACAATCATATTCTATCTAAAATTTAATGTATTAGCATATATCATTCCTTAAAAATGATGTGAATAAATAAATGAAATAGGAATGTATTCTTTCATTTAACACTGATTAGGTTATTCTGAATTACCTAAAAAAATGCTAATACAACACCAAATGTATTATTACATTATTATTGTCTCCTAGAAAAAAATTTAATAATTTTTAAGTACTCTGCACATCAAAAACAAGGTTCTAAAAAGATTTATTTGTTTTTATTATTTTTAAGTAAAAATTCCAAATCATGAGAAGGTGATAAATCTGTTTTTTCTATATTATTGAGTTCACTAATATGAGTAAATTCTACTTGTAATGATTTTTTATTGCTACACTGTGTTTTAGAACATTTGTGATTTTTCATAGTTTTATAAAATGAAAAAGTTTGCATACATTTGGAACAAGTATATCTTTTTTCACCAGTATGTGTTCTAATATGTTCAGATAAACCATCTTTTCTTGCAAATGCCTTAGAACAAAAGTGACATTGAAAAGGTTTTTCTCCTGAATGTGTTCTTGAATGTTGTACTAATTGGTATCGAGCAAGAAATGCTTTACTACATATTTCGCAAACAAAATTTTTAATTCCAAAGTGTATCTTTTGATGGTCTACTAAACGTACTTTTATTTTAAATGTTTTTCCACAAACATCACATATGAATGGTTTATCTGAATTATGTGTTTGTTTATGAATGTAAATTGAACTATGGCTTGAACCAGTATAACCACAGATATTACATTTGAATAATGCTTCCTGTAAGTGTGTACGTTTGTGGGAAGTCAAGCCTAATTTAGATGAATATGAATTTCCACACAAATCACAAATAAATGGTTTCTCTCCAGTATGTATACGCAAATGTGATATAAGTGCAGCATTACTTGCAGTACTTAGATTACAATAAGAACAGGTAAACATCCCACTATGTTTACGCATATGAGTACGTAAGGTATGTTTAGATTTACATCGAACATTACAAATGTCACATATGAACCTTTTTTCAGTATGAAAAGCATTTTGATGAATTTTCAAGCGACTCTCAGTCAAAAACATTTTTCCACAAGTTGAACAGGTAAATTCTTTATCCATTTCATCATGTGCGTTACGATCATGATTCGATAGATCACAAAAACGTGTAAAAGTTATATTACAAAACTCACAAGAATATGTTTTAGATTGGAATCGTCTGTAATGCTCACGATATTTTGCTCTTTTTTCTTCAATTGTTTCAACTTTTTTGCATGTTGAAATAGCAAATTTAAAATCATCAGTATTATTGTAATTTTTTTTTTCATTGTAATTTTTGGAATCATTTGAGAAACTCTGTATGAATACTTTTATTAAAAAAAAATCAGTTATATTTAATAACTTTGAATTATTACCTGTGAATTTGTCTGATTTAAAATATTATGTTTAGTTTTAGTATGTAAAGAAAGACTGTAACTATCAAGAAAGCCAGTATGACAAAATGAACATAAATAAGGCTCAAAATTTTTTCTTAATGCATGAGATTGTAAATGTTGATAGAGACTAGTTGTTTGGCTAAACTGGTACAAACATAATCCACAACTCATAGAGCAACTAGTAATTTTATTCTAAAATATACATATTTTTTAATATATATTTTTTTTATTATTTTAATAAATAATACCTCACTTAATGTGAGATGCTCGTGCTTAATACTTAAATGTTCATTAAAGGTTTGATAAGTACAAAAACCTATTTTACAAATTAAACAATAATGAGGACTATTAACACATGAATTTTCTTCTTTATGAAAATCCATTAAATGCTGCAACAGTAAACTTTTCTTAATAAAATGTATAGAACAAATCCCACACTTGTGTTTTTTTTTTGACATTTCATGACAATCATTTATGAAATTTGAACATGCTTTGGGTGAATTAAATAATCTATTTTTAACCTGATAACCATTTATTTATTATTGTTAATTAAATGTAATTCAGCAAAAAAATACAAAAATAATGTACATACCAATATTGAATCACTATAAATTGACTTTAAATTAATATTGTTATCCGGAGAATCATGTATTGTTTCATTTAGTTGCTTTTCACTATCAACTGTATAGCTTAAATTTTTGTTACTTGCTAAATTAAATTGTTTTTGAAATTGTGTATTTGAAGCCATACATATTTTTTTAAAATTTTCCCAGATTTCTAATTGATGCAAACAATTAATACACAAACATGCAAATTCTTCTTCATATTGTTTTATCTAAATAATTTAATAATCAAATACTGTTAATGCAGAAGTAATTTCACATTGATTCCTTACTTCAATCCCAACACAAGACTTTATTTGACCAGATAAATCAGTTATACCTTTAAAAATACGATACAATCCAGTGGATTTATGCATACATAGCCTACAAAGTTCGTTGAAATTTAGTTCAAAGTTATCTTTCATTTTGAATAAACTATTCTCATTAAAATGACATGAACACCAAACAAATTGTACTAAGTAATGCGAGGTAAAATCTATTTGATTGAAGTATTATTTTTCATATTTGAATACTACTTTTTTATTTTTAAACTAATAGTTATAATTATTATTATTGTAATATATAATATAAATATTTCCTCTATATAATTACAATATTATTAATAGTATGTAAATAACTATTTGAATATTCAAAAAGGCTTATATGTTCATCTTAAGCTATACCTTATCAAGCAAAGATGGTTTCATAAATGGTATGTAATAAACAAATTGTTATAAACCATAAGCTATTTCATGGTATAAACCATGAATAAAACAGTTTACTACACCATGGTCTCTCAAATTTTTGATAACTTAAGAAGTCATACACACGTGCTTATGTTGTTTTAATCCGTATGAAAGTGCACGTTGCTGATGTAGTTTATGTCTTACGTGTAGTATTTTTCAATTAATTAAGTTTTTTAGATATTACAATTTAATAATCATGACTAAAGAAAATCGAGATGCTGAAAAAGTAGCTATTGTAGAACGCGAAATCGAGTTCGTAAAATTGGTTGCATCAAATGATTCAAAAACAAGAAATGATGGTTTCAAACAACTTAAATCATTAATCATTCAACATTCTGGCGATTCTAATAATGGTAAGTTTAATGTGCACTTTGTTTATTATAGGTTTGTATTTTAAAACTGAAAATGTTTGGTACAACTTTTAATATGAATTTTATTCTATTAATTAATTCAAAAAAAATTATATACTTATGATTCAAGTATAAACATTCATTACAATTATAACGAAATTTCAATTAAGTTAATCATAAGAATGATTTTGATTTAATTGGAAAATGTTATATATTTTAAGCATATTTTCGTAAATAATGTATACAAATATACTGAGTAATTGATCATTTAGTTTTTTTTAAACAAATATAATGTTTAAATATTTTTTAGCTTATATATATATATATATATATATATATATATATTATATTAATATCATCATATTTTACAGATTTTCAACTTAATGATTATTTACGCGTCTGGAAAGGATTATTTTACTTTATGTGGATGTCAGATAAACCATTACCTCAGGTATGTACATAGTTACTTTATTTCAATTACCCAGTTAAATGCCTTTATTCATAAAAATACTATTTTTTTCATAAGTTTTAATAAACCGAAAATACCACATTTTCATAATTTCTCCTTAGTTACTTTAACAACTCAAAATTTATGATTATAGTTGAAGTATGAAAACTGAGAATATCAAAGTGTAGTAAAATTATTGCACATAAAAATAGTGCCTGATCTTGACCTTTAATTCTATTTTTCTGTATGAAGAATGAAAAGAATAGTTACTAAATTTTAAGAAAATACTGATGATTTTAGTAAAATTTATTTCTAAGGGGATCTTTATAGACATGAATAATAATAACACATGATGTTGAATAGTCAACAATTGGCTCTAATTAGTAAAATAAAAAACCTCTTTTTATTTCACATCCTTAGTTGACCTGTAAGGACGTTTAAATTTGTATATAATATGTATATGTATATACATATAAAAAAGAATCTATATTGATGTTTTGACAAGTCCTACAACTTTTGTTCTATTAATTATTTTGCCCTTTTAACAAAAAATTATTCATATAGTATTTTTTATAGGAAGTTGCTACTGAAAAAATAAGTTCTCTTATGCATAGCTGTAAATCTACTCATGGTAAAGTATTGTTTTTGGAAGCATTTTTCCTTACAATTAAAGATGATTGGATGTCTATAAGTCAGCATCGAATTGATAAATTTATGATGTTGGTTAGGCGTTTTCTTAGACAAACTTTTGTTACTTGTGTGAATTCTGATTGGAATATACAATACATGGAAAAAATAAATAGAGTTTTGTATAATGCTCTGAAATCATTTACACTAAGTTTAAAAAGTCATGTTCAAGAGATATTTCTTGAAGAACTTGCTAAAGTAAGATATATTTTTATTTAATGAAAATGTTGCTTATATAGTAAATATGACATTATTTTAGGTTAGTAAAGGAAATGTACCTACTGAAGCTTTAGTGATTATATTAGATGCATTTTTACATTATATATCTGAAATAAATGATATAATGCTTATAAAAGAAGTTACTCAAAATGTATTTAAAAATCTTCTATCCCAATCTCCCGAATTTGAAATTTTAGAAGCTAAACTTCAAGCATGGCGTCAAGTATGTATTTTTCAATGACTGTATTTTAAATTATCCAGATTATTATTTTAAATTTCAGTTATGCTACATTATATTTAAAATAATTAATAAAATTAATTTTAGATGGGTAGACCAGGAAGATCCTATACAGATTTAGAACTAGTTGAAGGTGATATAGAAAATGGAGATGGTATTCAAAACTATGATGCACCTTTAGATCCTCGAGCTGGAAAAGTGAATGTTGAAATACCTCGTATAAAATTTAATCCAAAACTTATTGCTCATTTATTACATAAATATATAAATGAAATTGATTGTACTAGAAAAAGTTTAGTAGAATTAACCAAACTGTTGAAATGGTTTAATCGCTTAAAGGAAGGAGTATTGCCTTTTAAACCTAAAGATTTAAAATTAAATAGTCAAGTTTTAAAACGAAAAAAAAAGAGACATTTATCTAAATTAGTTAAAGATGGAGTTAAAAGATTAGAAATGGTAGATCAAAAAATAAAAAAAAGCAGTAGAGATGTATTGAATAATTGCAAAAGTCTTAAGGAATTAGATATGTTAGGTGAAGTTATAGTAGAACATGGAAAAATTGGAAAATCAGTTTGGAAAGTTAGGAAGTTTGTAGAAAATAATGCTAAAGAAAATATAAGCTTAAATGGGTCATGGACAGTATCTGAAGAAGAAAAAAATGTGCCAGATGAATCATGTGCTATTGAAGAAGAATTCCCAATTTTGGTTCCTGCCGGTTTTAATGTTGAAACTTCTGTAAATAATTTGCCTAATAAATATGTAGTTCAAGAAAAAAAACAAATAAGTCCACTGAATAAGGAAAATGTTAAAAGTCCTACAACAAAATCCTGTAAAGTCAAGTCAAGTTTAACTAATAAAAATAATATAACAGAAGTAGATACTAATCAATCTGATGATTTAGTTATGAAAAAACTTAAAAGGCGTTCTGGAGACATAAGAGATAATAGTAGTTTAAATGAAAGTTGGAGTGTAACTCAAAATGATGAAATTAAAATAATTTCAACCAGTACAAAAAATATGAATGACTCGTTTGAAAATAAAAAAAACATTACTGGAGAATCAGATTCTAAAAAAAATTTGCAAGCTAATTCTAACGAAAATTTAATTGAAACAAATATGAATCTTAGTAAGAACTGGCATGTTTCTAAAGGAGAAAAAGAACCTGACCTATCATATTTAAATGAAAGTATTCAAAACATAAGCAAAAATTCTGAAATAAGTAAATTAGTTTCACCTGGTTCAAAAATATTATCTGAAAATTCTAAGAGTCCAAAAAGTCCAACGCCAGAGAAAAGAGTCTTACGACGACGAACTATTATTATACCCAAAAAGAAAGATGTTCAAAAAGAACAAACAAAGGATACACCTAAAAGAAAATCTCAAGATTCTTCTCAATCTGTGGAAATACGTAAAAGAAGAAAAACAATTGCTGGTCAAGGGATAAGCCACTTAAATCCTGATGAAATATCAAATAAAGCTTTAGAAAAAGTGGTAATAACATTTAACTCAGAATAATCAATTAGTGGCTTTTATTTAGTTATGTGTTTCAATAATAACTAAGATTAAAAATTAAATAATTTATATAGTTGATAGTACAAATTAGAATTGTGTAGCAATCTTTAAACTATTCACATAAGTTTGAACATGTTATAACTATTTTTAATTTTATTTTTAGAGAAGTGAAGCTTTTGATGGCTTTAGTACACCAAGGAAGAGCTCAAGATTATCAATAAAAACTGATTCTGCTAAAAAACGTGTAGAATTTCAATTGAAAAATAACATTGAACAAGGTACACATTTAAGTTATAAACATTTATATATTAAAATAAACTTTTTGATAAAATATTTAAGTTTTTTAGGTTATAGAATGGAAAAGTAAAAAAACTAAATAAATATGTTTTAAACACTTCTATAATAGGCTTAAAATAATTAATAAATTTTTTAATTTAAACTCTTTTATAATTAAATATCCAAAAATGTAAAAAAATTGTTTGCGTATGAGTTTCTATTCAAAAAATTATTCATAAAACTTCTAAACAATAATATCCATTCATCTGTTTTATAAAAAAATGATATATTGTAATATAACATATTATAAAATTATAATGGGTAAAAATAATTTTTTTTAGTGTTATAATAAAAATTAAGTTTGTGACTAATATTATTTAAAATTTTATTAATATTAAAATTACTTAACTCTAGACTCAAAAATAATCTCAGTATAAAACTACGAATACACATTTCAACTAAGTTAGTGTTAAACAAATAATGACAACTTCCCTAAAAATATATAAGCTATGTATTCGTCTCCTAAAATCGTTATCTGTGTAATTTTGACATTATTTTTAACAGCTTACTCAAATATTGATAGTGAACTTTGCAATAATTTCTCTAAATTCCAATAGTTGTCCCAAATTTCAATTAAGTAATTTTTTTTTTTATATTCTTCAAAATTTCTATTGCCTCCTTTGTAATTTTGTAAGATTTTATATTATAATGATGTGCTAGTTAATGTTCTGCTACCAAATATGTATCAATTTTTTAAATTTTAGTATTATAATTATAATAAAATTATTATTTTTTATATACATGGTAAATTTTTTATCATTACCCACTCAATTACTTAGAAAATGAAAATAGTTAAAACATTTTTTTTTTTTTTGTTACTTCTACCAACACATTCTTGAATTATTAACTCTATAATACTTTTTAAGTTCGTCCATTATGTATGGTAAGGGTGTCAACTTTGTTTTTTCAAATAGGAACACATTTTGAGTTTTTATTTTAATAGTTGAATTTTTAATATAACTTTATTTGTTTATTGAATATAAAATTTTAAAGTTTCAAATTTTTGAATTAATATACATGTTTAATACAATACATGAGGGATTACAAATGCAGGTAGCTAATTGGTTTTTTATGACATTGATATTGGAAGATACATAGCATTTATTATCAATTGTACTAAAGCTTATTGTTGTGAGTTTATAAATACACCAACTTGCAATTCAGAAAATGTATCTATTAATAGTTATTATTGACAATAAACACACTGTGTCTGTGATAACAACACCATAAAAAACCAATTAGACACCTGTATTTGTTTTCCTTTGTGTATTAATTTAAAAATTGAAAACTTAAAAGTTTTATATTTTATATATAAATGAAGTTATATTAAAAATTCAAAAGCCATGTATTATTATAATTAAAACTCATTTTATAAATATTTCAATAAATTCAAAGTATGTGTTTCCATTTGAAAAAACAAAATTGACACCTTTACAAGGCATAAAAGATAAATTTAAAAAGTACTACATAGTTAATAATTTTAAAATAATATGTAAGTAAAAGTAACAAAAAAAAAAAATGTTTTAATTATTTTTAATCTGTAAGTAATTGAGGAGGTTATCATAGAAAGATCACTTTTTACAACTTATAATACATAGTATTATTATAGCTTGGCAATTATCTTTTATTACTGTAAAGAGCAACTTATAAAAATGATGTTACAACTTTTTATGGTATCAACTCAAATATGATTTGATCCCAATGTTGGGGTACAAAGACTGGCAAAATCTCAATTTTAAAAATTAAAAATTTTTAAGTTTTTAATAAATTTATTCTAAAAATATTAATGTTTGTACAAAAAAAAAAAGAATAAATTTTTACCAAATTATTTTATCTTTAATAATTACTTTTGTTCTAATAATTTAAAGCTTCTTTAAAATTTGAATAATAAAAACTAAAGATGAATATAATACATTTTTTTTTAGAATTTAATGAGTATGAAACATCTTTAGTTGAAAAACCAGAAAACCCTCATGATGCATCCAAGCAACCAATATGTGGTGTCTTAAAATCAACTCCTGATACAAATCGTGTAAATCCATTCTATAAGTTTCACGATCGTTCAATTAAAAAAAATTCTAGAAAATCTATCATTTAATCTATTTATTAAATTTACACTGTACTTGTTAAAACAAATTGTTAATTTATAAAACAATGTTCTTTGATTCTTATGGAATTGTATGTTTTATTTAATAATTAAGTTTATTCTTTTTAATAACTTTAAGCTATGTTATGTAAATTGTTAACTGTTTTGACTACTGAACAATTATTGTATCATTTAAAATTAGCTTAAATTGAATAACTTTTAATAAATAAATTACAATATAGACTTTTTTTTTATGTTTAACAATTTTAATTAAATATTCTTTCAATAATACAAAAACATTATATAATATAGTATCGATCTATCCTACCCTTATGCCTAGACATTTCTCATATTACTATTATTTTTTTTACGTTATTTTTTAATATTTGGGACTGTAAAATCTGAACCCTCAAGTGAAGTGATAATGCAAGAATTTTCTTTAAAACATTAGTGTAAGGACTTATTCTTGAACCAGGCTCACATTGATGTAAGGTAATAATAACGAGGCTAGAAGTGAGTCACTTTTACTATAAAAATTGGCTTATATAACAAATTACAAGTTGAATTTTTTTTATTGATATTAAACCCGTTAAAAGACATATAAGACTAAATTTATGGGATTCAATAAACGTACTACTAATATTTAAGATAAAATAAAGTTTAATCTTATTTGAACTAATATCAATATTCTGAACTTATATCTTTCATCAACATAGATAACACATTTGATACCAACAATCTATTTGCTGATTTTGAAACTATTGTAGTCGCTAACTCTGAATGTGCCCTTAATTTTTTGTATATTGATTAAGATTTTGGCAAAAATTGAGATCGATCCATCAAGTTTAACCTGTTTTTATGGAATTTAAAATTGAATCTTAAATAGAAGAAAAATATCAAAGCTTAATTATTCAGTATAATATTTCTTTCATCACGATAAAAAATTGATACCCACTTATAGAAAATTTATATAGAATTCAAAAATATTAATTTTACTTACTAAAATGAATATTAATGACATATTTTTATGTACATAAACTTCTATATAATGAATAAAATAAACTTACTTTGAAGTTAGTTAATAAAGAAATTTTTAGTTGAAAACTTAAGCAAGAAAATGTAATTTTTGTGCAAAACTTTTCATTGAATTCTCATTAGAAATTCTAGCAATGGTAAGTCGTAATTATAAATGTCTCACTTATTTTGATAATCTTTCATTATCTTTAGATTCTAATTAAAACTCATTTTTTTCCCTTGAAATTTAAATAACTATCTAAGTAATATATTATAATCTGTATTATTATTATATTGTAAGAATATATTAACATACTTTTATTACAATAAAGTTCATTGGAATTTTTTTTTCATCCATTAAACAATATTTAATTGTATTTAGTAATTTATTTTAATTAAAAATTTTAACTTTATAGGCTTGTTTAAACAAGTTAAACTTCATGTATCAATCTAAATATTTACAAGGTTTTATATTAAAATACTAGTAACTAACGTATTGAGATAGTGCTTACTTCTGCCCTTTACATATTATGGACTAATATTTGATATCAGTGAAAACTCGCAAATTAAATAAAATATTAAAATGCACATTTATTCATTACAAAATATTAAAAATAAATGATCAGATAATGATGTCGTAACACAGTAAAATGTAAAAGGTAAAGGGTATACGAAGATGAAGATGAGGATGTGATGCCTGCTGTCTAGGTATTCGCGTGCGTGTTGTCGTACAGCAGTCACCGTGCTCGGCCGACACTCCGGGTTAGCTGTGGGTGTCGAAAGGCTGTTGTTATAGGAAGGGAATAAGGGTAACACCTAGGTATGAGGTGCAGACGAAGTGCAAGACACAAGTACTTCAAAGAGAGAACGGGGTTGCCGAGTATAAGGTGCAGACGAAGTGCAAGACACAAATACTAGGCGTACCAGGTGAGGAAAAATAACAGAGTACGAGGTGCAAGACACAAGTACTCTGAAATGTCGCGGAAAAGAGTATATAGGTTTAAAAAGGAATAAACAAAGACTTTACTTTAAACAGTAAGCCGGACACCGACAACCGAGTACTGAGACTGATGAATGACACAAGGCACTGGAATCGACTGACCACGATGGTCAGGTCTATTGGGTTTTTATAATAATTAGAACTATTGCCGATTTGGCAATAAATATTATTTGTTAATTCATCAGTCTCAGGCAGCGGATGTGCTGTCTATATTTTATTAAAATAATTCTCACGATTATGAAAACGTGACACCATCACAATGATTAATTTACACTACTCAAGTGGTGACGGGTAGTATAAGGTACACCTTCACTGCTTACCTAGTTTATTAATAAAGTATTATATATTAACTGTATTATCATTTCTATCATTATTATTATTGTTATAATTGTTATTATTCATTCATTAATTATTAATTATTTTCTTTTCTCTTATTGCCGTTTTTCTCATTGTATAATTATTGTTATTATAGTAGTGATAGCAATACTTAATGCAGACTAGATTACGTGCATACATCGCTTCACCGAATAAGTTTCTTTATTTTTTTCCTAATATCTTAATATTTAATATATAGAATTTTCAACGATGCTTCTAACAACGCGTTACTAACCGTGATCCAAAGGGTTATATTCCTCCCTTTGCATAATTCAGTTAATCTTGAACGGTGAACATCTTGTTAACTGTCTCCTGGTAAAAATCCCCTTAACCTTTTTCAACGGTGTTCGTAACAACGTTTTATCAACCGTGATACAAAGGGTTTTACCTCTATCTTCATCTAAATTAAGTAGTTCCTAAAGTAAGACTGATATGATAGGTAGTTGTTTAGTATAGATATATTCGTCTTTTTTAAAATAAAACAAAATAAGTTGATTATTTGAACAATTTGCATTGTGTTTTCGAATTATTGATAAATTTAAGTTAAGAGAAAAAGAATTTAAAAGAGTACAAACGTAGAAACGTTTCAAGGTACAATAGTATTATTGCAATAAGGTTTCAAGTCAAAAAAATGATTGATGTGCTAGATGAAATATCAGAAACAACATATGATCCGTTAATTAAAAGTGAAACTAATTCATTAATTTCGGAGATCAGTACGATAGAATTCCTTATGAGTTTATATATATGGTATACAGTATTGTGTGAAGTGACCACTGTCAGTAAAATTTTACAAAAATCGAATGTTGACTTGGATATTTTTTCAGAATTATTAAATAGACTTGTCAAGTTTTTAAAAAATTATAGAAAAACTAGATTTACTACAGCTAAATTGGAAGCTCAAATGCTCCTCACTATTTAAAAAATTTCCATTCAATTTAAAACACCTAGATATAAGAAGAAAAAAACAGTGTTACGAAAATAGCGATAACTTATTAAAAGATCCCGAAGAAAACTTCAAATGCTTATATTTTAGATTGTTTTTGGACGGTACTAATCAATCAATCACAACTCGATTTGACACAAACTTCTAAGTTTAATGAAATATTTGGTTTCATATATAGAATTGGGAATCTTAGTTCTAAATTTCAAGAGCAACTGATGTCTAAATGTATGAACTTGGCATTACTACTTCAATCAGAAGATGAAAAAGAAATTTGTGAGTATGATTTATTTGAAGAACTCTTAATTTGTCAAAACGTAGTAGAATAATCTACAACACCCATTTATGTACTTCATTTTATAAAGATATGTAATGGAATATTTCAAAATATTGCTCCTAGAATTTTGTTATTAATATTAATAACTTCATCTAGTGCAGAACGTAGCTTCTCAAAGTTGAAACTTATTAAAACTGATTTAAGAAGTTCGATGGGTCAGAATGCCTTTCAGGATTAGCTATAAATAAAGAAGAGCCCGTAGAATTAAACTACAAACTAATTCTTGGAGATTTCGCGGCCCAAAAATTAATAAAAATAAATTTTATGTCATACAATAAAGGACTATAATTTATATGATACTTATCTAAGTTATAATTAAAAACGGTAGCACAGTGTGGACGTGGCATAGTTGGGACAAGTATAGATGATATCTGTCAGTGATTAAAATCACTATCATAAGGGACGCTTCAATAAAAATCTGTAGATAGTGTTTAATTTTAAGAAATTGGCGGATTATTCCAAAATCAAAATCAAAATTCCTATTTCCTTATTTATATCGTGTTTAAGTAGTATAGTATATAAGTGTAAGATATAAACAAATATTTAATACATTTAAATTTACATATAAAAAATAAGTCGTTGAGACATTTAATTTTTTAAAATTTATAATACGTAAAATAAACTTATATATAACATTTGATTAAAAGACGTAGTATTTTTGGAACATTTTCAACATTTAAGTCGAAAAAGTTGCTATTTTGAATCCAATCCTGTGGGCAGGTAAATAGTCAAGACTTCAAAAAATTTTATATCAAATGAAAGAAAATCACCTAAAATTTCTATATGAAAAAAACCCAAACAATAATTTTTGAAAAAGTTATGACAGTTTTAAGAAAAAAAAAAATAAAATGTCAAAATTTACCAATTTTAAAAATTGTAATTTTTTTTGGAGATTATCACCATCTACAGGGAACAAAGGAAATTTTTAAAAATTTTAAGGGCAATGTCTTAAACTAGATACGTATTGTAATTGTTCATTGAGAACAGAAAAAGTGGACACAGACGTTAAAAAGAACATTTATTATTTAACAAAAAAACCCAGCACAATGGGGTCATGACACAATGGGGATGTGGCATGGTTAGGTCAAGTATCATGATATCTAACAGTGATTAAAATCACTATCATAAGAAACGCTTCAATACAAATTTGTAGATTATGTTTGATTTTAAAAAGTTGGTGGATTATTCCAAAAGCTACATGATCTCCTATTTCATTATTTATATCCTGATTAAAAGTTTCATGATTTATAAGTGTTTCAATACTTCCATTTATTATTTTGTTTAACTCTACTTTTTGTGTTAAACTATTAGACATACTTAAATTTGGAAAAATAAAATTCTCTATTAAATTTTCCTCGTTTTCTGCTTTAAATAAATGAGTGTATTGAGGAATAAGATTAGTAACTTGATTGTGTTGCTTGATTGACAAGTGAGATGATATATTTATAATGTTACCATTAGAATCTTTTATTATTCTTTTATCTATACAATGTTTAGTTTCAGATCATGTGAATTTAAGTTAGTATTCTCATTTCTATTAGTTAATGATGTTTTCTTATCTAGAGAGATATTATGTACAGCTTTGTTTACTAAGTCAAAAGGTGAACTCTTTACCTTAGCGGAGTTTAACCTTAATTGTTGTTTTTTGGAAATTCATTGCAAAATCTAGCCGTGTGTCCAAGTATATTGCATAATTGGCAAATTTCTTTATCTTTATAGCGACAGTCTTCTATTTTATGATTATTTAAACAAATTGAGCATGATAGAGTGTTGTCGGAATTTTGCATATTAACATTACGTTGTGTGTATCTGTTTTGTCTTTGATGATTGTTATTTTGATTTTGACTATTCTGATAAGTATTGTTTCTAGATGAATAATTATTTTGTCTTTGGTTTTTGTTGTATTGGTTATGTGGCTGTGATCTTCTATTCTGATAATTTCTCATAATTTTAATGATTTATAAGTGTAATATATGAATAAATAAATATCTATATATTTAATATATAAATATATAAAGAGAAATGGTATTATTTAAAAAAAATATATGTCGAAGAAAGAGGTATATAATAAGTGTTTATCATATGTAGTAACTCAAAAAGCAAAAATATGGTTCTTAGTTAAAATATTAATGTGTGTAAGTGAGTAGTCGCCATTGTTCCTTTAACTATTATTCAATAAAATATACAAGACTCTTTGTAATTGAGTTTACTACTAAAGAAAGTAAATTATCTCTGACAGCATGTGGATACGAGTGTTCGTCAAGAACAGACCTGAACTAAACTTACGAATAGTCAAGATCTGTTAGAATACTTATGTAAATGAATACGATAAAAATATAGACTATAAATTTCTTAGCGTATAATAATTGAAGCAAACTCAGCAATAATTAATCTATAGATCTTTAAATGACTCACCTGAGGTTTCGTGTGTGATTTAGGATTTTATAATGCGAAGGTAGTTGAATTTGAATAAATTTTAAACTCTAAATAAATTCTAGTCTTCACTTCCAGGCCTTGATAATCGAGGTGAATGAAGAAGAGAATGCTTGAATAATTCGGATGCAGACGGACTACTGGCTATAATTTTTGAGATGGTTTTTGTGGAAACATTTTAATTTGAGTCATTTTTTGTGGGAGATCTCGATTATCAAGCGATACCATCTGTGACTCTTTATTAGTTATTATCAAAAGTGGCATAGTACAATGTTTAATACAATACAATTATATATGACAATATTGTTAGGTAGCCACACGCTAGAAAAACTTATCTGCTTAGTTTAATGTACATTGTAGTGATAAAAGATAAAGGTTACATTTTAGCTTCGATGCGAAGCTGAGGTTTTACTAAGATGTGCTTTTTTTTTTTTTGTGTCTGTTAGCACTTTTTCTCAGCTCTCACCGAACCGATTTCTTTCAATGATACGTCAAAAGATCACAAATTGTATCTAGTCGAAGACATTACCCTCAAAAATTGAAAAAAATTCCCTCGTTCCCCGTAAATGGGGGAAACCTCCAAAAAAATTAAAATTTAAAAATCGCTAATTTTCGAAATTTTTTCAATTTTTTTTACTTAATAGTACCATAACTTTTTCAAAAAGGAACATATCAATATAATTTTTTTTTATATAGATGCATGATATCATTATCTATCATTTGGTATATTTTTTTATAAATCTGACTTTTTACCTACCTTCAGAGGGGGGTTCAAAATGACAACTTTTTCACAAAAAAGTTATAGCAATATAAAATTAAAAACCCAGCACAGGGGTGTCGCGGCACAGTGGTGACGTGGCATAGATGGATCAAGTATAATGATATCTGACAGTGATTAAAATCACTATAAAAAATAAACGCTTCGATGCAAATCTTTAGACAGTGTTTAATTTTAAAAAATTGATGGATTATTCCAAAAGCTACATGATCTACTATTTCCTTATTAATATCCTGATTAAGATAAAGTATATCGAATGAAAAAGAGATTATTAAAAAATAATATTTCTCATAAAAAATTGTATTGATCCATACACTTTTCAATATGTCATAGCATTATAAAGTTAAAAATGTAAAAAATAAAATCGAGAATTTTCACACAATAATAGCATT